ATTTCCATTGAATTTCACATAGCCTTGCTTTCCCAAAAGTTGTTTTCATCCAGGCACCAGTGGACTGCAGTCTCGACCTTACATTGGCTTTATCAACAACCTCAGCGGAAGTCGAACCGCGACAGTGCAGCATGAGAGCTTGACACGCTAACCACTCGGCTACACTGCCACGAGTGTCTTTGGGTCACAGGGCAAATGTGAATTTTCAAGGAAGGCCAGGCCTTTTGCCATATCATATTCTTTGGTGGGATTGTCGATGAAGCAAACGTATGTTTTGCTATAACAATCGACTACTATACTTTATTTTTCGCATTAAGTATTGTTTCGAGACTACCAGTAACTCAGTTATATGAGATGTATTCACCCAATTTCGTTTTAGGTGATTAAGGAGTGGTAGAAGAATTTTTGGGAAGGCAAGGCTATGTGAAATTCAATGGAAACGTCAGCTCAACTCATATCATTGTGGGAAAATTCTTCTACCAGTCCTTCCTCAGCTTAAACGAAATTGCGTGAATACATCTCATATTACTGAGTTACTGGTAGTCTCGAAAAAATACTTAATGCGAAAAAAAATATATTATTTGGAAGAGGCATGTCTTGCCTGAATATTAACATTTGACCTGTAACCCACCTGCATCCGTGGCTATGCTAAGAAGTGGTAACGTGTCGCAAAGATGCACACGACCGAGTTTCGAGTAGTGTTGGGGATGATGAGGAAACCTACTTCACCTCAGTCTGAAGTATAAATCATTTTGGGGGGCAATGCTAAGTACACTTCATGGAGATCATAAAATCTACTCAAACTTTTGTTGTCAAATGACCATAAGCGAAATAAAATGATTATATTCCTATTCTAGGATTACTTTTATATCAAAAACGTTCTGCAAACATTGTTTCACTGAACTTTAGCCATGCCCGCATTTGGTTATACTTGCAGTTAATGGATGTAATAAAGAACTAGCTAAGTTTTGCTTTGGCTAGATAATTATGTAAATGGCCCCAAAGAAACGATCTGCCATTTTATGGTTAGACCATTAGCTAAATAGCCCCATCTTTATCTGCTTCCTCTTTGAGGGCAATCTCCATGCTGACGGCGATCGAGGCGAAAATGGAGGAACTCTTGGACATTCTTGAGATGCTGCCTTCAGACCGAGTGGAGGTGGCGCAGCGAGCAAGAGAGAAAGAGCGTCGTCTGCTGGCCAGAGAGGAGAAGCGTACACAACAACGTCTGCATCAGGAGGAACGAATTCGACGAGCTCTGGAACGCGCCCAGGCTGCACCGAAGAAGCAGGTGCGTTGCCTAACGACCGGTAGCTGAATTGTCGTGCATCCCTACGGCGTTTTGGTCAACTCATCGTCCATTTAAGGTCCAACTGGTGGCTAGTGTACAAGCGTTTAATTTATGTATATTGAAAATGCTGTATTAGTGGAATGTAGACCAGATCTCCATTGGATAGAACCAGTTCGCCACTTTGTAATCGACCTTCCAAACGTGGACGTCACAGGTCTGGTATCTCATCATAATTGTACCTCGCATGAAGACGCCGCTTGCTGTGCACTTCTGATGTAAAATCACGTATTTGAAACGATTGAGGACGATCCTATTCGAAGAACTTCTTCACAACTTGGGATATTTTCCAGGCATTTTGGAAAACCAAAACACATCCTAATTGAATGATTCTAATAAAAGGGTCGCATATTAATTCATTTTCGTGAGCAGAGGCGAGTAATTCCTAAACCCTGAGGCGATGCAGTCAATATGGCGTAGTATAAGTCAGGCTTGAGCGAAGAAGGGTAGAATATATTCGAATTGGGTTGCAAAGTTGTTATCAAATAGTCTGAACTGAGCCAAAGATTACTCACCCCTTATCCACGAGATGCAGACGCTTTAATGATTAGTTTCTCATACCGATGACAATGTCTATTATCTGCTAAAGCAGGTTATATTGTGTATACGTATTGGTCTATATTTTAATTATTTTCAGCAAATCCTGATGATTCAATAGCAGCAGAAGAGGATTTCATTTCTATTGAGATAAAAATGGCTGTTGCTACAAAACCAGAGTAATTATTTTTTCGGGTGAATGGCCACGAGTTGTGAATATAATCATGATTTAAAGTGCATACGCTGGGCAGTGATTGTAAAATTCTAGACGCTTCTTCTAACAAAAGTGGTGAAAAGTAGGAGCCGTTTTCTACTAATTTTTGCACTCGAATGAAGAGCTCATGGCCAAAGTAGAATTCTATCTGCTCTAATGTGAAGGCGGGTTGAACTTTAGCTCTTCATGTGACGAACATCGTTATGACTGATAATCATTCTTGCAAAGGCCTCGAGTTAACACTAAATCATGAAGACTAACGGCTTTTTCTATATGGTATATATACCCAATACCAGCAAAATTTAAGATATAGAAGAATATAGAAAGAGTTGGTTAATTCACTTATACTCGTGTGTCTGTGTGTATATGTATGTTAACGTGTGTACGCAAAACCGGTCATAATCCAGAGTGATTAGAAGAAAGTTCAACGTCAGCCCCGGGTCATCAAAGCTTAATGACCAAATTAAAAAGGAAGACCGAGATTGCGTTAGTCCGTAAGTAAAACTGATTAATTTGATGAGATGCAAGTCTGTACACGTGAAAGTCAGATTACAAAACCACCAGTCCGGCCCCGTTATTCTGGCTTAGTAAAGTTTAATTATTAGATTATGGAATACTTTGAGTGTGAGGAATGGTTGAGAAAGTTGAATATAAATAAGTTATGCTTGATTGATAGAATGAAAGAGAGATTGTGTGCTGAGTCGCCGTGTAAAAGGATTTGACTCAATTTATCAGCTGAATGATGGTTCTAACCAGATTCACACTCGCTAAACAGGCATGTCAAGCTCATTAACCAAAACAGACGTGCGAGACTAATCAATCCCAGGCATGCTTTTCCATGGGTTATTCAACCTTAATAACCCATAATAACGGGACGGGGCTGGTGGTTTTGTAATCTTACTTTCACATGTACAGACTCACATCTCATCAATTTAACCAGGTCTGCTCACGGACTAACGTAATCTCTGTTTTCCTTTTTTTCTTGGGTCATTAAGCCTTGATAACCCGGGGCTGACGTTAAACTTTGTTTTAATCACTCTAAGTTGTGACCGGTTTTGCGTACATACATTAATACACATAGACACACAGACACACTAGAGTATAAGTGAATTAACCAACTCTTTTTATATTCATATATATCTTAAATTTTGCTCGCAATGAGTATATATACCATATAGAAAAAGCCGGTTAGTCTTCATGACTTGGTGTTAACTTGAGGCTTTTGCAAGAATGAGTCTCAGTTATGACGATGTTCGTCACATGAAGAACTAATGTTCAACCCGCCTTTGTCCAAAATCTCAGAGGATTTCTTGTGGACTGCATCAAACTAAACGTCGTATTAAGGCAAAAGGACTACAGTACAACGCGAATCAGCCGACATATTCCGGTAAGATTGACCTACCAATCTTTTAATCATGCATTTCCATACGAAATGAAAGACTTAACATCAAACTTATCTCAAGAGATTCTTCGAAACGCGCATTTATTCTATCTACTTGTCTATCAGGTAAAGCATGCAGAGCTAAAATAATTTAGATGCTTTTTTGTTATCGCACGGAAATATTCTGCCAGACGGTAAGCAACATTATACTAATAAAAGATTTATATAATACGACAATGAAAGCTTAGAAAATGGACAGGTCCCATTGTGTTATATGGATATTTTATTTGTTACTATTTATCTTTTTTTCCCAACTGACTCTTTGCATGACTAATGCTTTTTAAAACAATTTGCTTTCTGTATCACCACTGCAAGCCACTAATTTATCTTAAAACAAATATCTCCTGCTTTCTATTGAGGGAGATTGGTGAGAGCAGAATAATGTGAATCGCTGAATAAGGTAAAACATTTCCAAAAAGTTTTAATTACATTTACAGTCTTGTAGAATATACATATGGGATAGAATAGAACCAAATACTTAATGGCAGCATAGACGACGTACATTTCTGCTAGATATCCTCAATCTTGCAGAGTTTCACATTTGGAGAGTTAAATAATAACTATTTCCTTTTTCGTAGAATGCCG